CGCAGTTCACGAGTGAGTTATTATTGGTGGAGAGGAAGAAGCTCAAAGAGAAGGTAAAATTTAGGCCTTGAGATTTTAAGTATTCGTTTTCTCTATAACTATACATTAGTTATTCTTGGTTAAAACTAAATACTTTGATTATATATAGTTGGGTTTAAGAGTGCATAATTGTTTTCTTTTCTTTTAACCGTAATGCTCCACCTCCATGTTCAGCTAGTAGAGTAGTTCTAGACTAGATATATTTATACTCAAAATTTAGCAGCACATTATATCTTCGGTTGTTCAGCTATGCTTTATTTCGTGAAGACACATACTTAACACTAAGTCTGTAATTTCAGCACATAATCATGAAGCATTTTGGGGGATATGGTACGCTCTCGGGTTTGGCATTTAGGATGGCGCAACTGGTTTTTACCCTGATTTCATTGATCTTGTTGCTGACTGCGAGGAGGCTGGCCGATCAATTAGTCTACTGGTACATCTTTCTTTTTTTCCCCTGACAAGTGAATGGATTTCATTACCATTGTAATAATGTACAAGTTAGTACCCCTGGCATCCCTGAGTGAGTGACAATAACTGTCAGAATAAAAACAAACTCAGTTTAACACATAAACTTAAAGAACAATCAATCAAAATAGAGCAAAAAACCAAAAGTGCTCAAACTAACAACTGGATACTACGTGCAGGTATAGCCAAATGAGAATTTCTAGCAAAACCTCTCTTTGGATCACTTAATTAAAAATGGTAGCCACATTTGAGGACTTGTGGAAAAGTTATATTTTGTTCTTTCTTGCATTGTGTTGAATTGTGAGAGTGGGGACCACAAGGAGTTGGGCAACTTCCAATGATTGATTGGGGAGCTGGGCAAATTCCAATGATTGGGAATTTGTTTTCGCGTGAAGAGGACCAAGGCCCACCCGACTTCTTTAATGACTGCAGGCTATATAAATAACAATGAGTCCCTAGGTTTTCGTGTGTGAGGAGGCAAAATCAAAAGCAGTTGGCGGCTACAGCAGGCTCAAGGCAGAGGTGCGCAGGAGCAGCAAAAGGAAAACGCAGATTCCTTTTTTTGGGTTGTAGCAAAGTACAGAGGCGACTGTCTTTTGTTTTGAGAGAGATAATTGTGTGAGAGGTTTTGAGAGTATTTGTTTGAGGGTTTAGATTGTGTGATTGTAAACCCTAGTTGTATTCTCTCCCCTCTAATAGTAGATCTCCCCCTCCTTGCCCCGTGGACGTAGGCAGTTTGCCGAACCACGTAAAATTGATTGTTTGAGTTTGTGGCCATTGTAATAGTTGTAGGATCCCTCGACGCGCAGTCTTAGAGCTGACGAGAGGAAGAGCTAATATCCTACTTTGATAGGATATTAGGCTTTCAGATTCTTGTTCCCTTTGAGAAACAAGAATTCTTATCGATCTTTCTCTCTTATTATGCACCAGAAACTCTGCCGGAATTTCTGCTGCGCACAACACATTGTTGCAAGTGTGGTAAATGCATGCTGCTAAAAAAGCTCTGAAAATATTTTCCCTTGCTATTTTTTCTTTACGTCTGCTAAGCCCCCCTTGAAAGGTTTGTGAAAAACTATGAGACAATCTTTAAGACCAATCAAATTAGTAATCATCAGACTGAAGCAAAATCAAAAATAGTAACCATTAAAATACAAAAATTAAAAAAAAAATAAAAATCTAATTTCTAGTCCAAGACTACCTCTGACTGAAATTAATTGTTATGAATTCCGTACTTGCTCTTGCGAATAATTTGAATGACAAACTAATTTGAATGATAAAGTATTTACAATTTGTAAATCGATTGATTTCCCCCTCCGTACAGGTACATGATGTATGGGGTGCTGATTGTAGCAATTTGGAGTTTTATCCTTTCTTTCATGAACATTGTCTTAATAATGAACGGTGCTGGACTAGAGCGTGCGACTCTGACTTGCCTTGCCGTGGCTGACTGGGTACTCTCCTTACTTATTTCTCTATTTATTTCAATTAGATTAAGAGGGTGAATTCCCATTTTTAATAGTAAGACTTCTCAGTTTGGGACATGGTTATTTGAAAACTTTGTATGGTGGAAAACCCTCTCAGATAGAGTTGTTGTTAGATTGTTTTTCACTTTTCTAAAATATACAAGGACCTAGGTGAAAAGTGTATATTTACTTACAAAATATAGACCGGTGCCATTTCTTTTTACTGAGCCTAAGGCGACGAGTTACATTGGATATTTAAAGAGAATGAATAGAATAGTGGACTCGCTAACTAGGAATTACTCCTCCATGAACATAGCAATCAAAACAAACTCTGGTCATGTACACCATAAAACAAGGCAACTACACACTTGAATACCTACAAACGAGGAATAAACAACAACTTCACTAGACTCATGCAAGACTAAACCCAATGTGGAAGCATGGAAATAGCATAACATGTCATCAATATCTGAGGTGGCTGAAAATGAGTGTTTTGTGATTCGAATGGCTAATGATCTGACAGTGACTTGCAAAAGGAGCCGCCTAAGTCTGTCTTTGGCAGTCTCTCTGAAGCCAAAGTTTGTCATCGTCGGTTAATAGTAGCCCGCTCGCAGAATTTTGAATGCAAAGGCTCTGTCCCCTAGATATTAGCCGCACAAGCCTTCACACACCTCAAACAATGTGTTCTCGGCTTTGCTCCGCCAAACAGAATGCAGATAGGGTAAGATAAAAGACCTTTGGACAAAATTCCATTTATCATCACGTCTCGTGAGAAAATTTCAGGAGGAATAACCTGTATTACTTGACTGGAGGTATAGTAACAGGTGGAGAGCTGATGACTTCTGTTGATTCGACTAGACTGCGGCATTTGGGGCTTGGCCATTCCAGTATTGATTCCTCGTATAGATTGAAAGAGGGTGCGAAGACCTGCAGTTTGAAGTCCAGTGAACATGGTGATGTGAGCAAGTCGCATAGATTGGAAGAGGGTGCGAAGACCTGCAGTTTGAAGTCCAGTGAACATGTTGATGTGAGCAAGAAGACCGGGGTGAAGTGTGGCACCTCTATTCACCGTGCTAAGGGTCGTTCTGGAGGAGTTCACGTGGATGTATGGGGGCCTTCCAAGGGGGCATCATTGGGAGGTAATAGGCGTTTGGTTTCCTTTGTTGGTGACTGTTCTAGGCGTGTTTGGGTTGCAACCAAATCCCCATTGGAGAAAGTCCTAGTAGTCTCTAACAGATTGAAGAAGTGTGATATTGGCAGACACTTCGTTGGAAAGGAAATCTTGGGGCAGCTAGATAGGGTGACAAATTTGGAGAACCGTGCCTTGCTGGAGGAGGATCGGTGTTTGTGGTCAAGCAATGGTTTGCAGAAGAATTTCTGGACAGAGGCTTCGATATATTTGGGTCATCCTATTAAAGAGTTGTCAACTGCTGTGATTGGAGGTAAAACTCCATTGGAAGATAGGTCTGGTAGTGTCACTTTGGTTGAGACTTCGATGAGGAAGCCAATTGGCTCTCAGCAGGTGGAGAGTTTTGAACAGACCTTAGAGGTATCGCAGCGGATGGAGAATGATGCTACTTCACATTGGGTAAAGATTACTCCAGATCATTCTGCATTGGTTGGGATTCCAGCTGAGGTGACACAGCGTGGAAGTCATTTGGATTCGGATGCAGATGATGAGTTGGGTTTTGACTTGAGTGCAGCTGATAGATGCATGGAATTAAAACCGAACAATAGCTTTTCTTCAAGTCGATAAAGAGAGCTTCAAATAGTGAGGGAGTTAAATCAAAGTCGGTGATCCCAAGTGAACAAATGGTGGAAGCGCGACTCTTTAAGAACTATTGCCGTGAAGGATGACCTTGAAATAGTTTAATTAAAAAGTTAGCGCGTATGCGCTTTCAATCTTCGTAGGAATTATCATTCTGTTGTTCTCATGTATGCAAATGTTGAATTGTGAGAGTGGGGACCACAAGGAGTTGGGCAACTTCCAATGATTGATTGGGGAGCTGGGCAAATTCCAATGATTGGGAATTTGTTTTCGCGTGAAGAGGACCAAGGCCCACCCGACTTCTTTAATGACTGCAGGCTATATAAATAACAATGAGTCCCTAGGTTTTCGTGTGTGAGGAGGCAAAATCAAAAGCAGTTGGCGGCTGCAGCAGGCTCAAGGCAGAGGTGCGCAGGAGCAGCAAAAGGAAAACGCAGATTCCTTTTTTTGGGTTGTAGCAAAGTACAGAGGCGACTGTCTTTTGTTTTGAGAGAGATAATTGTGTGAGAGGTTTTGAGAGTATTTGTTTGAGGGTTTAGATTGTGTGATTGTAAACCCTAGTTGTATTCTCTCCCCTCTAATAGTAGATCTCCCCCTCCTTGCCCCGTGGACGTAGGCAGTTTGCCGAACCACGTAAAATTGATTGTTTGAGTTTGTGGCCATTGTAATAGTTTTAGGATCCCTCGACGCGCAGTCTTAGAGCTGACGAGAGGAAGAGCTAATATCCTACTTTGATAGGATATTAGGCTTTCAGATTCTTGTTCCCTTTGAGAAACAAGAATTCTTATCGATCTTTCTCTCTTATTATGCACCAGAAACTCTGCCGGAATTTCTGCTGCGCACAACACATTGTTGCAAGTGTGGTAAATGCATGCTGCTAAAAAAGCTCTGAAAATATTTTCCCTTGCTATTTTTTCTTTACGTCTGCTAAGCCCCCCTTGAAAGGTTTGTGAAAAACTATGAGACAATCTTTAAGACCAATCAAATTAGTAATCATCAGACTGAAGCAAAATCAAAAATAGTAACCATTAAAATACAAAAATTAAAAAAAAAATAAAAATCTAATTTCTAGTCCAAGACTACCTCTGACTGAAATTAATTGTTATGAATTCCGTACTTGCTCTTGCGAATAATTTGAATGACAAACTAATTTGAATGATAAAGTATTTACAATTTGTAAATCGATTGATTTCCCCCTCCGTACAGGTACATGATGTATGGGGTGCTGATTGTAGCAATTTGGAGTTTTATCCTTTCTTTCATGAACATTGTCTTAATAATGAACGGTGCTGGACTAGAGCGTGCGACTCTGACTTGCCTTGCCGTGGCTGACTGGGTACTCTCCTTACTTATTTCTCTATTTATTTCAATTAGATTAAGAGGGTGAATTCCCATTTTTAATAGTAAGACTTCTCAGTTTGGGACATGGTTATTTGAAAACTTTGTATGGTGGAAAACCCTCTCAGATAGAGTTGTTGTTAGATTGTTTTTCACTTTTCTAAAATATACAAGGACCTAGGTGAAAAGTGTATATTTACTTACAAAATATAGACCGGTGCCATTTCTTTTTACTGAGCCTAAGGCGACGAGTTACATTGGATATTTAAAGAGAATGAATAGAATAGTGGACTCGCTAACTAGGAATTACTCCTCCATGAACATAGCAATCAAAACAAACTCTGGTCATGTACACCATAAAACAAGGCAACTACACACTTGAATACCTACAAACGAGGAATAAACAACAACTTCACTAGACTCATGCAAGACTAAACCCAATGTGGAAGCATGGAAATAGCATAACATGTCATCAATATCTGAGGTGGCTGAAAATGAGTGTTTTGTGATTCGAATGGCTAATGATCTGACAGTGACTTGCAAAAGGAGCCGCCTAAGTCTGTCTTTGGCAGTCTCTCTGAAGCCAAAGTTTGTCATCGTCGGTTAATAGTAGCCCGCTCGCAGAATTTTGAATGCAAAGGCTCTGTCCCCTAGATATTAGCCGCACAAGCCTTCACACACCTCAAACAATGTGTTCTCGGCTTTGCTCCGCCAAACAGAATGCAGATAGGGTAAGATAAAAGACCTTTGGACAAAATTCCATTTATCATCACGTCTCGTGAGAAAATTTCTCTGCATAAATACTCAAGAATGGAATTCATTTAACTCAGTTCCGTGGTTATCTGCTCCATTTAATCTTTTACATCAATGCTTGGTTGGGGAAGCTCCTCTATATATGGACACCGTTCTGGTGTAAGTTGTGCACTCGGCAGATGCGAGCCTGGAGAGAGAGTTGGCTTTGGTATTCTCCTCTCTTAAAACTCTTTCATCAGAAATGAACTCAAATCGATATTGCATGTGCTTCACCTTCTGCAAGTAAAGAACCATTCAAGCTCCATCTGCTTCATACACGTCATTCACTTGGTTTTTTTTTTTTGGTTAATGAAACTTTATTCATCTTCCAAATATAGAATGTTATGCACAACAAACTTCTCAGAAAGACTGAGATTACAAAATAGCTACAAGCACCACTGTGTACTAAAAATTACAGTGTGCACATCCACTTCTTATCTTCAGCCGAAAAAGGACCATTGAGAATTGACTGTTAGAAGGTTGAATTTAATCTCTTTAAACAATTGAGATGCTGATTTTCCTTCCTGTCTGAAAAATCCTAAAATTCCTTTCACACCAAATGTAATAGATTGAAGTGGTGAGAGCCATTTTCTTGACTTTTTGCTTAAAGCCATTCCCCCTCAAACAATGGCAATACCAGTTGATAATCTGGTTCCAGCAGGTAGACTTCCATCTAAATTGTAACCAATTCATAACCATGCACCAAACATCCCTTGCGTAGAGACAATCGAAAAAAAGATGATCTCTGCTCTCTGAACCCGAACACCAGCAACAGGTATTAACACTCACAATATTCCTCTTAAACAGTCTATCTTGTGTGAGTAATCGATCTTGGACTGCAAGCCAGCTGATAAAAGAGTGTCTGGGCATATTAGAATTAGCCCAAACTGTTTTGTACCACGGAACAGCTGAGGCAGTAGGAGAAAGGGCAGAATACAGCACTGAGAGTTGTATTTTTGAGTTCCTGTCACAATTTTGAATAAGGTTCTTCAGATTGTCAGCTCCACCATAAGTTCTCAAGGCATTATCTCTTATTTTCAAGATGCTTTTCCACATCCATGAATCTCTGCTTTTTGATTGGACATGCCAGATATCACTGTTGCTTAAGTATGAGCCATGAATCCACTTAATCCAAAGACTTTCCTTATTAATATGAATGAACCAAAGAGTTCTTAGAGTAGTAGCAAGATTCCATAAAGAGGCTGAATAGATGCCAAGTCCACCTTGCTACCTGCTCAAACATACCTTATCCCAGGATATAAGAGAAATTTTGTGAGTGTGTTCAGTTTTGCTCCACATGAAGTATCTGCACATTTCATCTATTTTCTTTAGGACTTTAATAGGGAGGACATAGTTTGATAACCAGTAGGTTTGAATGCCCAGAATGATGCTTCTAATAATCTGCAATCTGCCAGCATATGAAAGCAGTCTGTTCTTCAAACTGGACTGAAAATGACCTGCTATGTTGTTCAAGAGTGAAGAGCAATCATTGAAAGATAGTCTTTTGGATATTAATGGAACTCCCAAATATTTGATAGGAAAGACCCCCTCATTAAAATTTAAGAGCCTGTTAACAGATCCTTTAGTGCTATCATCAACTCCTCCATAGAATACTTTGCATTTGTCTGGATTTGCTTCCTCTTGCTTTTGAAATACCCATGAAGAGTACCATTTAATGATAGAGAGAATTTAGGAGTTGAAATGCAAACCATGATCCAGTTGATGAAATTGACACGAAATCCAAGGCCTTTTAACATCTCATTTAGGAAATCCCAGTTAACAGTATCAAAGGCTTTTTTGATATCAATACTCAACATAATTCTAGGAGAGATATGCTTCCTGTTATAGTTCTTCACAATCTCATTTGCAAGAAGGATGTTGCTAGAGATGTGTCTTCCTTTAACATAATTCTAGGAGAGATATGCAGACTGGCTATCATTAATTAAGTATCCCATCACAGATTTGATCCTATTAGCTAGAATTTTGGAAATAATTTTGTAGAGACTATTGCAACAAGCTATAGGTCTGAAGTCTGATGGGGACTTGGGACACTTCACTTTTGGAATCAAAGTGATGGCAGTAGAGTTTATCATGCCCAGAATTTTACCTGTTTTAAAGAATTCTAGAATAGCTTCAGATACCTCATCGCCAATAATGCACCAAGCTGACTTGTAGAAGGATATACCAAATCTATCAGGGCCCGGAGCTTTTCCATCATCCATTGAGAAGACAGCATGTCTAATTTCATCTCTAGTCACAGCTGAAGATAAGAAATTTATTTGAGCATCATTTAAACATGGACCATTGTGAATGACATTACTATCAGGCTTGACTAGAATTGTGCTTGAACCCAATAGTTGCTTGTAGTACTCAAGTAGCTCCTGAATGATTAAGTCACCATCAGTAATTCTGTTTCCTGCACTATCATAGAGAACCCTGACTCTATTGAGATGTCTTTTAGCTTTGACAGCTGAGTGAAAAAAACTTGAACTCCTGTCCCCTTGAGTACACCATTGAATCCTATTTTTAACGAATTTTCAAAACTGCCCAAAACCTGTCAATTTTGTATATATCAGATTTCGGTCGACCGGTACGGTCGACCGACAGCTGTTCTTTTTCATAGCATAGTTCCAGAGAGCCTTCCGGTCGACCGCACCGGTCGACCGAGAGAATTTCCGGTCGATCGAAATTTATGTCGGTCGACCGCCAGCTTTAAAACTTCGTTTCTCTGGGTTTTTGAACTAATCGGTCGACCGTACCGGTTTATTGTAAGTGAGCATGTATTTTTTTTCCTGTTCAATCAAGTCAGCATTAAGAGGATCTGATTGTAAATACTTTTGGGCATTCTGCAGATTTATCCTTGCTCTGGTAACTTGCTCAGATATATTGTGAAAATTTTTCTTATTTAAGTCTCTGAGAGCTATTTTCAGGAGCTTCAATTTACTGGTCACTGAATACATGATACAGCCTGGAATTTTCCCTTGCCAGATGGAAGTCACAGTGGGTAAGTAATCATCATGCTTGCTCCACATATTGAAAATTTTGAAAGGCTTTTTTCCTTGGACACATTCGTCATATATTGACACCAATGCAGGAGAATGATCGGAGCAATTGGGTAGCAAATATTCAACATGGCTAGAGTTATATAGATTAATCCAAGCATCATTGACCAGAGTTCTATCAAGTCTACTCCATACTCTGGAATTTGCCTCTTGTTTGTTGTTCCAAGTAAAGAAACACCCTTTAGTTTTCAAGTGAGTAAGTTGACAGTCATCAATGAATTCCCTGATATCCAGTGTTTCAGCCACAGTAACCATAGCTCCACCTAATTTGTCCTCATCATCAGATATAGCATTGAAATCACCACTGAGAATCCAAGGCTTATTACCAACTCTATGTTGAATTTGCCTTAATTCAAGCCAAAGAGTTTTATCCCATAAAATCAATATTCTAGCTTTGGAAGAGTTGATAACATCTGAACACCATTTCCAATTACAAGCAATTTTCCTTGCTATAATAGGGATCTTGCATGCTTTGATTTTTGTTTCAATGAGAGCCATAAAGGATAAATGGTATTGCTGAATATGGATCTTGACCAAATGTTGTTTAGAGGGCTTATTTAGCCCTCTAATATTCCAAAAGGAAAAGTTCATAATCTTGTAGTCCCCCTATCTATTGTAGAGGGATCATCAATTAGATTATTGAGATGATAGAAAGAGTTCTCCAATCCTGGAAAGACTTTCAGACCAGTATTTTGCATACCAGACCATGTTTTAGAGGACTGCAAACTTTTGCCTTTATTAGATCCAACAAAACCAAATTCTTGAACATGCACAGCCTGCACAGCTTTACTCCCTGATGGATACTTACTGCTATCAGCCAAGCCTTTAATTTTTCCAGCAGAAAATGCCTGAACATTATCCCTACTAGAAAAACCCTCCAGCTCAAGCTCCTGAACATACACATTATTTTTAGAAGTTGATTCAGTAAAGCTCTCAAATGCCCCAGGCAGACTAGTGTCTTCAACAGCAACATTTGCAGTTTGTGTCTGAACATGCACATCATGCACAGACTTGCTAGAGCTTTTGCTTATCTAATTACTCTTCAGATTCTCATCACCTTCAGACAACTTAGGAAGAGATCCAGCAACATTTGCTGATTGTGCCTGAACATGCATAGCATGCACAGGTTTATTAGGGCTTTTTT